TGTGGCATGTCCAGGTACGGTCCTTCAAATTGACGTCCTGGCAAAGAATAGAACAAGCACAACTGAAAACCCCTACCCCACATGATAACTAGCACACGCTACTCCACCTGAACAAGGCCTAAAACACCCCAGCCAACCCTTCTCGGTTTCAATTTACCAACGAAAAGCGCAGTTCGCACGCACACTCTCACTCACTCATCACTCATTACTCATTAATTCACTCATTGATTCACTCGTGCACCGCTGATATTTGAAACAATTATGTTGGGGATGCTGTTGGAAATCAATGTGAATGAAAGTGAACACAGTTGATGGCAACGGCGAAGAGGTTGAGAGGAGAAAACAAAAGTGTACGCGACGCGGGACTCGAACCCGCAACCCCCAGATTCGAAGTCTGATACGCTATCCATTGCGCCAGCCGCGCTACGAATTTCAAGTCTCCAAATATTTGTTAACAATCTTGCGCATTTGCGTTGATCAACAATACTTCCTGTTCGTAGGCCCTGTTTCAGGATGAAGACTACGTACAGTACACAGTATTACACAGTATTTTCTAGACGGAGTACATTCCACCCTGGATACCCTACGTTACAAAGACCATCTGACGGTCCGGTTTCCACTCAGATACAAAACAATATCTGCGAAAACAAGGCAACTCAGAGTGTATTATTAAGCTTAGCGCGCACCAAATCCCGTCGAATTTCACAAGTCATCACAAGGTGTATTTCCTAGCCCAACTTGCGATAATCATTTGAGTCCACTCAAAACCAAATGATCGTTAACTATTTAACCTCAAATTGGAGTTGCGCACACCATTGAAAACCTGACCGTATGGACTACACGATAGAGCCCTAATTTGCCAAAAAAAACTCGGGTCGAACAAAAGTTATGGCGGCTTGAAAAAAAAATCTCCTAGCTGGAGGAGGCAAGAGGTCAACTTTTTTTCTACGGCCAAATTGATCTGCAGGCAATTATGAAGCGAATAACGTCTTCTATAACCCCTAATAATGCCTAGAACCGTTTGAAAAGGGCAAGTGAAAGTCTGCTTTGGTTAGCGGTCATATTGAATTGAATTTTGGTTTCATGTCGTTTCTCGCTTCCCGCTTAGATACGAAAAATCGATGGTGCGACTTTAAAACCCTCTAGAAAAAACCTCAAAACAGCTTAACGATCATCCCGTATCAAATGGATAGTAAATTTTACTGTCGCTCTTATATTGAACGCATTAGACTATCCACACTCGTGAGCATAAAATCAAGCGCGTGTATACTCACAACGGCGGGATATTTGCTTTTACGCACAGACGCGCTGCACTGATTTGCCCAGGGACAGTTTGATACGCGTCCCACATCAAAATAGCTACAGTTTCCCGCCGAGTGGTGTGTGCAGTTCGGTAATTCGCACACAGAACCTTCCCTGACATCGACGGTGACAACAGCATGGAGACTGACCGCACGGGACTGCAGCTCATCCACAAGGAGGCCGGCGCTTGTTATCGCGCTGCTCGGTGACAGCTTGGTGGCTCCGGGCCCCACGGCACCAGGTCGGCACCATCCCAACGTCGAGCGTCGAGTGCTGAAATCTGCCGCTCGCCTCGTTTCCGGTTACTTTGGTGATGCCCTCGTCTAGAGTGAGGAGACGTTCCGGCGCCGCTTTCGTAGGCGGTGCCACCTTTTTCTACGTGTTATGCGCTCCGTTGAGGCCCACGACGACAATTTCCAACAGCGCCGCGATGCCACGGGAAAGCTCGGCTTCAGCGCCAGTCAAAAATATTCAAATCGCTATTCTGGTTTTGGGCCGCGCAAGCCACCAAGCAAAGGAGACAAGGCAAGATGGCTGCGCCACGAGGCGGCTACCAAGTCGGGCAGCTCAACATTAAGGAGGACAAGGACTCCGCGTTGGCTCCTGCATTCACAAAGGAGACTGTTGACGTAATGAACAGACCGGAATTACATTCTGGGAGATGGTTCTAGCGACGTATATTGCCTCGGCGCCACGGTTTCGAGCCACCCGCACCGGCTTCTCCGCCCACATGTGTTTCCTTCTTGTCTTGTACAAGAGGAGTTGTAGTTCGTCGTCGCCACCCAATGCTCCTCTTTGTATTTTGTGTGTGTGGATCAAATCGCCAGACTGACCGCCAGATCTGGCGGGAATTCTGGCGGATGATCAGATTTAGCGGACCGCTACCAAATAGCGTCTCCCAATGGGAAAACTCTAAGCTCTAAAATTTGGTGAATGACGTTAAAATCTGGCGTTTATCGCGGCCGTTGGGATGCTCTCCACCGGCACTTGAGTAAACTATACGTAATTTTTATCACAAAAAAAGATCGTGCAGGAGAGATATGCTCAAACGCATAGTCAGCGTTATGCATTTGCTCAAACTTGCCCACAAACCTGTACTTTCCGACGCTGACTATGCGCTTGAGCATATCTCTCCTGCACCATCTTATTTTTTTGTGATAAAAATTACGCAGGTGTACTCAAGAGTCGGTGGAGATGCCCTTACTTCCCATATGCTGTACCGTATAACATAAGAAGAGTATACCCTAATTGCTTTTCGTCGCACCGTCTCTGATATGTTGGACCTTCAACACAAGTCGAGCATATACTTGGTATTTGTATGGAGCTACGGATCGCTATAATTACACCAATATATTTTTGTGTGCGTAAAACTGTCACGTGCACAGGCTTAGGTTTTAGCCAGTGGGAATCTGTTGAATGTGATAGAGAAGGGAATGCATCGCCCCGCCACACATGAGTGGATCACAGCCACCACCTCATTCTTCAAAAAGACGACAAGGAGCCAAGATGGTCGCGCCGGCTGGGAAGACTCCGCGGAAGCAGCAGCATTGCCTCGAGGCGCTGCTCCGCGAACGGCGGCGAAGGAGACAATAGAGAGATTTCGAAGCTGCCAGTTTTCTTAGTCCATTCCCGGTCGTGAACACGGCCACGGACTCGACCAGGAAATAATTTTTCAAGTTTCGGAACAAATCGCACTTTGTTTCTATAACAGCTGTCATACATTAATTAACAAAAGTTGCGTACGCCGCCTTGTAACGTATGGCTTACGCTCCCCGAGCAAGCGCAACAGCTCGGTCGCGCTAACCATTGCTTATTATGCAGGCGCCAGTAAATATGGCCAACGAGACGGTGTTGCGTGTGATACCCCTGTCGGCGGCAGTGGCAACAACCAATTATACGGTCCCCAGCTGGGCGCGCGACCTCCAGCACAAGCACGTTGCTGTTTGTAGATTGGCCACAGACTTCTTGCTACTGGGGGAGGGGGGCACGGAGACAGGCACTGGGATGCGGGGCACTTGCTGCTGAGGGGCGCGGGCTCCATCTCCGACACGGATACTTCTTGCTGCTGGGGGTTGCGGGAACGGGCGCCACCACGGAGATGCAGGGTTCTTGCTGCTAGAGGGCGATCTAACTCTTTAGGGCTCGTCTTCCCCCCCGGTCAATTTATTGGTTGTGGGAGGTTCCTAACCGGAATAACCATTCCTAAGAATCGCAAATTCCCAGGACTATCCGACCGACTATTCTTGGTTGGAGCACATAATCGTACCTTTCTTGAACAACAACCGTGAACGGACGAGGAAAGCAGCACTTCGAAATCTTTCTAATAGTGCGGGGAAAGCAGCAGAAGGCGGTGGTCCAGGACACGCCGGCGGGACCCAAGGACATAGCGGCTTCCAATGAGGCCACGGCGAAAGCCAAGGACACGGCGACGGGGGATAAGGGTACGAAAGAGTCGAAGCAGGGCTGCTTGGAGGTCACAGCAGCCCCTGTCGCTGTTGTGGAAGTAGTAGCTGATATTGTGGCCTCGGTTGCAAGTGGGGAGGCTCCAACACCTGTGCGGTATCTTGTTTCTCCTCGTTTGCCACCAGCTTCACGCATGCTGCAGCGTGAACGAACAGCGCAAGTCCCATCAAGGAAACGGTGCCGTCGTGTCTTCCAAGATGATGAAGAGGACGACGACGAGATACGCTACGTTGATATTATCCATCATAAGGAGGTATGATGTCTACGATGTGCCACTTCGCAGACGAACTGTTTACACTCGCCGTTGCTGATGCCGTCTGCTTTGTGACAATCTCGAACACTGTCTGGAGAACGGTTTTCACCAAATTGTTCACATCATGGGCAAGGCACCGCAGAAGCACGATGTTTGGCCACCGCAACGCTAATATGCGTCTGGCCGTTGCGCATGACCAGCATCGTCAGTAACGACGGTACCTACAATCCAGCCAAATGTCAGCGCTCTTTTGATTGACCCTTCCATCTGCTTTGCTATGACAATTCCGTGGTGGTCCGAATCGACCGGAAGAAGCTCGATCTGAATAATAACACCAGACAGAGTTGACAACCAAGAAGATAGAGTAAACCCTAGAGTCGAGCCACGTTCTGCCAGACGTCGGATATGAAATTTACTCGACCTTCAGTGTCTTCCTGCATCTCGCGTAGACTCTCGTTAGAGGCGAGCTCAGCGTTTTCAGCGTTGATCTTGAGGATCCGACCCCCGAGTTCCTTACGTGTAGGCAATTCAAAATGAAGCATCCGTGCGAAGAGCATTTTGGTTGATGTGCGCTCAATAAAATAGTCTGGTAGTGCACATTCTGACTGAAACTCCAAAAGGTCACACTCGAAACTGCGTTGATCTTCCACCGACAGAAAAAAGTCACTCATGCGCTTCTGTCGTTTTGCAGTGGCGCTGCCCGACGAGCTGATTGAGGAGACGGAGCGCACCAACGAAATGGTAGATCTTGGTTCTTCGACAGCGCTCTCAACGATCAGCTCTCTTTGATGATACGGACAACGCTTCAGATGGCTTCGATATGCGTCTGCACGGTCGCGAACCAATGCTGGAGCAGCAAGATTGCCGGCACTGTTGACATGGTCTGCTTGGCATTTCTTGCATATCCACCAGTGGTGCTTCTCCGATACACTTCCGTCCTTTTGCACAATGGGTATTTGGCTCTTGCCGAAGTGCTTGCGTTCATCACTAGCCGGCGCAGGCATCAGGACCAAACGGAAGAGGCTGTGATGCCCGTGAGAACGGGATAGAGCTTTATAAAGTGTAAGTTGGCAACCGTTACCGAGCGCAACACGCCCGGACCGATCTTGATTTGACTGGACGCCCGTCAACGAAACAACGCGTAAGAAGTCCGTAAAAACGTTCCGACGGGGACTTTGACGGCGATACGCTTTTACGGACTCTTTACCAACGTTCCAACGTGTGTTTACTCTTTCAACGGAATTTCTTTGCTACGTCGATTGCCAAAACTGGACACGGGGCCACTTGGGGACGGCTGCCCAAGACAGCGGGGGACAGGAAGCTGGCACCAGCAAGGCAGCAGGAGTACACCGGACTAGAAAGGGAGCCACTGAGAGAGGGACAGATGCGGGGGAGGCAAATGCTCT